AATATATAGTTTGGGCAGCATCCTCAGGGTCTGTCATAATAGTAAACATGCAAATCAGAGAAAACACGCAAAGGAATAATCTGGACATTAGCAAATAGTGAATCTTATACAACAAGATGTTATTCAATACTAAAATTAAGAGTTAAGTGCTTAGAGATAGGCAATAAACCAGCAGTGCTACATTTGTATCCACTTCCATGGAGCTCTAGTTTGGGCAGCATCCTCAGGGTCTGTCATAATAGTAAACATGCAAATCAGAGAAAACACGCAAAGGAATAATCTGGACATTAGCAAATAGTGAATCTTATACAACAAGATGTTATTCAATACTAAAATTAAGAGTTAAGTGCTTAGAGATAGGCAATAAACCAGCAGTGCTACATTTGTATCCACTTCCATGGAGCTCCCTACAAAACTGAAACCTGTGTGATGACAGACTAGAAAGAATAGCTTATTATATAAAAAGCCCATGCTGTGGAACGGGTGTGGCAGTAAGTAATCCACCATCCATGCAGTCTCCTGCAGATAACCAATTAAAGTATAGCACGCAAATTAACATAAGATTTGTTTAGTTACCTAAAATGGTGCAGGGTTCTTTAATGTGATAAAGATACATGTCTTACTGTAGTTGTACACCTCATGGATCTAATGCAAAGTTAAAATGGCTGAGAACTTAAAAATTGGATTGTATCCCAGTAACAATTGAATCTGGTGATATTCTAAATAATAAGGGCTCTCAGCGACATTTGCAGCTATTTTCATCACTTCACAGACTCAGACATTCTAATAATTCACTAATTGAATAACAATCCTGCAACCTCAATATATAGATAAGCACTAAGACCCCAATCCTGCAGAGACTTACACAAGCACTTAACTCAATGAACTACTCATAGTGCATTAAAATAAATGAAACACAATGGGGCAATAGAGAATACCATAAAGAGCACTATTGAAAATCCTAAAATTAAACACATTAGACCATGGCTACTCAACACATGGCTCGTTTGCAGCCCATGGTGTGGTTTGGTTTACACAGGGCTCAACATGTGGCCCATGGATGGGATCCTTTGAACATGGCCTCCACTGGGAACACACTCCACAACAGCGAGGCATGTCCCAGACAGGGTGAGCACTGAAAGATGCAAGCGGACCAGCTGGCTGGAACAGACGGATACAGTGTGTCAGCATTTCTAACCCTCAGGGAGGAGGTGCCAGGAGTGCCGGGACATTGTGGGAAGCTTGCTGCTTAGTCTTGTGGACAGAGCCTAAGAGGTGCTGACTGGCTCACAATGGCCACATTTGGGCCTGGCGCCATGGCTTAAAGCCCATCAGTGTGAAAGAAGCTATTTGCATATACAGCTGGTCCCCGAGTTGCAAACAGTTGACTTACGACCATTTGCAGTTACAACTGAAGCTGTCGTAAATGGCGGACCCCGAGTTACAAACGCGATCCGCGCTTACGAACAGCGCAGTTGCGTACAACTCTATGGGGTCCGACTTACGAACTGAGTTACGACCAATTGCTTGGTCCGTAACAGGTTCGTAAGTCGGGAAGAGGCTTATATATTTCCATGTATAAGCAACCACATTTAAGTTGTGGCCGACAGCATGTGCTGTATCATTGTGGCTCCCAGAGCTTCCAAAGTTGAGAAGCCCTGGAGTAGACAATACTTCAAATTAATATTGTGCCTTTCTCTCAATGATCTAAAGTATCTTATAGATATTCAGTCTTACAAAAAAAAATCACTGAAATTATCATTGCATTAGGGATGGAGAAACTTAGGAATATTAAAATGAACTGCCCAAGTTTATATGAAATCTGTGACAAAGCTAGAAGATATAACCTATATCTTTCAGCTCCTGGTCTCATTTCTATATTCTAGATTGGATTTATTATATTCAGATTTATCTATGAGTATATTATATCTCCTCTCAGAATAGGTAACAAAAATCAGACTCTCTTATCTCAGGTAATTAGTTAACATTAACTTAGAATGTTATTGTATTGGTTTATCATCTGAACAGTAGAATTGTTTTTCTGTGCAAACAGAGGACATATTAATTCCATAAACCCTGATAAAAACAGACAGACAATGTAGTACCTTAAATGAAAGTGTTTCGTACCTGGTCAAATTGAAGATCTTCACCTCTTTGAAGAGATCTTGATAAGAGCTTTTCCTAGAAACAGAATGAAAATCATTATAAAGTGTGAAAGATGCAATTAGTTCAAAACTTGCAACAAGTTAAACAAGCAAATGTGATGTAACATAGGTTGATTCCAGGTTTTTATACCTATTTTATGAAAATGTAAATGGGCATACAGTCTGAATACTAGTTACATTTCCAGCTGGAAGAGATCAGAGATGAACAAGCTATTTTGGTGGCTCAGTTGTGGCACTATACCCTATCAATCACAAAACCTGGAATTTCTGAATTCCAGAAGCTATAGAGGTCTTTTTCTTCACCAGAGACTGAAGAAAGATGAATGTCATGCTGCTCCATCTGGATAGCTGATGTTGAGTGAAAACTTGACTTCTAAGGAAACCCCATCCAGCTCTCCTAAGTGCAGCATATTAATGATCATATGAGAGAGATACTTTTTGCATCCCTACTGCAATGAAGAAAAAAATTGCTATACAAATCAAACATCTCTAGTCCAGCACACTCTGGTCTGGCATCATTTATGGTCTGGCACGATTTTAGTTAGTCAGTTGTCTGCTTATCATGGATGTTGCCAAGTTTCCTGCAGACCCATGAAGTTTGTTTACAGCCACCAGTCCTGACTCTCAGTAGTTTGTGCTGCTATTTAGCTCTAAATTATGCCTTATTGTCTTCTAAGAGACCAGCAAGCAGTGTAAGTGCTGGTAATGTTGCTAAGCATCAAATATTTTTTCTTTATCTACTTATTTCCTTGTGCCAGTACAGTAAAGTTGTGTAACAACACTAACACTTTGTTATGAAGAGAGCTTTAGCTAGGTGTAAGCTTATATAAGGTGTATCAGTACAGTCATATATTATTAAGCAGCATTGCAACCGCTGTTCCATTTATTCATTTCAGTGAAATAAAAATAAGATCCTCTCTCTACAATATTGACCTCCTATAGTTCTGCAAATTCTCTGGTTCAGCATTAGTCAGGTTGTGAGGGTGCCAGATTAGAGAAGTTGAACCTGTAAAATTAAATTATGATGCCTGTTATAAGTACACTTTCATTTGAGATCTCAATGCATTGAGCCAGCAAGCTGGACTGAAAATCAACCACAATAAGACAAGTATCATGACCTTTAATATTGCCTCACCATCACCAGTATGGATAGAGGATTATGTTCTCACCAACATAGAAACATTCACATATTTGGGCAGCTTCATCAGTCAGGTCAGTGGAAGAAGCCAGGACATCCAAAACAAAATCAATAAACCCAGAAACATTTTCAGGAGCTTAAATATAGTCTACAAATAATCAAAATACAATACCAAATTAAACTCAAGATTTATCAGAGCTGCCTACTTTCAACATTACTTTATAGTGAAGACTTCTGAGAAATGAGATAATATGGAATGTCAAAACTGTCTTCATTATATTCAACCTGCCTCAGAAAAAACCTCCCTATCTTTTGGCCCAGAATAATCTCAAACTAAGATCTCTAGATACAATGCAGCCAAAAGGATCAAAGCACCATCACTGTAAAGAGGCTTGGAGATGGATTAGCCATGTACTTTGGATGGAAACTGATTCCATTCCCTGAGTAGCAATAAGATGGACAAAGGCAAGCAGCAAAAATGAGACTGCCCCAAAACAACATGATGAAGAGCAGTGCAAGGCAAGCTGAAAAACTTGGGGCACAGCTGTGAAACCACTGAAAGACTTGCCAGAAACAAACAGGAGTGGAAGAGCTTCATCACTGCCCCAAGTGCCAGAGACATAATAGTAACATGATAATGATAATGGTGATTACATTTGAGATAGCCTTGAAAAGGAAAAATACAATAATATTAGACTACAGTTATGAGTTTGTATCAGTACCTCATGATAAACAATCATAAAGTTAATGACTTGTGAAAATGTATTAATGATAAAATGATATAATAAATATTAAAGGAAAATAGTTCAAAACGAGAACAAAAGTACCCATTTAAAATACTTCTCAGTATTATGCTACTGTGTATGATTTACGATCTTCAAGATTAACCAAACTCATGATACCAAAAATACAACTTTAAGACTCTTCCCACAATGTCTAACCAATAAAGAAACAGCCATTAATTCCTTAGCGCAGCATTATTCTGTAGGCCCTGATCTACTTGTTAATATTCCAGACCAAAGCAAGATTCCATACTAATGGACATAAGTGGGTGACTGTCACAACAAATGAACAGAAAGTCAACACCACTAGCCTGATGGAAAAAGGAGTACAGTTCCACTAATTACATAGTAGGATAGATAACAGGGAGAGAGAAAAAGAGAAGAGAAGAGAAGAGAAGAGAAGAGAAGAGAAGAGAAGAGAAGAGAAGAGAAGAGAAGACAAGACAAGAGAAGACAAGACAAGACAAGACAAGACAAGACAAGACAAGACGAGAAAAGGAAAAAGGAAAAAGGAAAAAGGAAAAAGGAAAAAGGAAAAAGGAAAAAGGAAAAAGAAATTCAACCTCCTAATTTAACTGGTAGAAAAGAAGAAGAAAAGAATTCCCAGCCATTGGGAACCACAAGCTCAATGCATGGGAAAACAGACTCTGTCAAACTAACCTGATCTTGTTTGAGGAGATTATACATTTTGTTGATAAAGGAAACAGTGTAGATGTTACATAGTTAGATTTCTATAATGTGTTGACTTGGTACTGCATAACATTTTGATTAAAAACTAGACATATAATTAACATGCCACACATTAAGTGGACAAAATAGTAGCTAATGGGTTTCAAAATGTAACTGTAATCAGAAAATTATAATTGGACAGATGTGTGGTCCTGTGGGGAGCATTTCTTGGCTTTATACTATTAAACTGGAAGAGAACAAAATCACCACTGATAAAGCTTACAAACGACAAGTCACTGATACAGTGTGATTTGGATTGCTTGGTGAGTGTGATGCAAACAAACAATAGTCTTATACAAAGCTGGGGGTACCTTTCCCAGGATGAGTCTGGTATCGCCTCTCTTTCATTAATGAACATTATATTTTCACGTGTTCTAAACAATTCACTGTGATAACATATCTTTATGAGTATGGTATTTATTACATGCCCCAACAGTTATTTCTTTTTGGCAGATAAAATGCACACATATTTTACACTTAGACAATGCAGAGCTATAGTATTTTCCTGATTCAGTACTTTTTTCATATCAGGGCCACCAAAAAAAATTACAAATGCAGAATATTGCCCCCCGCCTCCCCAACACACACACACACACACACACACACACACACACACACACACACACGTATAACTACTTTTAAAAGTGCAATATAAAATCATGATTATAAACAGGGCTCGACAAATTCTGGAAAACCCTACTCGCCAGACAAAAAAGGGACTCACCACCCTCCCCCCAAAAAAGTGTTTTTAATAGCATAAATTCCTAATAAGAATAAGAACAGTAATTACTAAGTTATTAATAAATATCTTATAAACCTCTACCTTTTCCCTCTGCTGCCATGTCTCCTCCGCTTGCTCCATCAGCTCCCCTGGTGCCTGCTGCCCCGCAACCCCTCACACTCCCCTGCTGTCCTCCCCTGCCCCTCTCACTGCCCTCAGCCTTCCTGAGTCCTGCCCCCCTCCACCAGCCCTTCTCTCCCCCCTGTGCCCACTTCTCCAGTAGCCCTACTCTGATCTGATCCTCATCCCCTGTCCTAACACCTCCCCTGCCTCTCTCCTCTGGTGATGGTCCCTCTCCTGCAGGTGTCTGCCCTTCTGCTTCACCCCCAGAATCCCTTGGTACCTGCACCCTCCTGGTGCCTCCCCCTTCCCTCACTGTCCCTGCCCGCTTTGCTCTCTTTTTCCCTGATGCCCACCCCCTCACCACCCTCTGCCCCCATTCCCCTCATGCCCCTGTGCCCTCACACATGACTTGCTCCATCCCTGCCTTCCTCATGCCCACCCCTTCTTTCTAGCCTTCTCCCAGCACCTCCCCCTCTCCCCCCTAGCCCCCAGTGCCCTTACTCTCTCCTCTCCCAAAATCACCCTGTCTCCCCTCCCACTGACACCTCCCCTCCTGCCCTTTACCTTATTGTCTGCATTTGGCCCCCTGGCATTTGTCTCTCCTTCACCCTGTCCCTTGGTGCCTTCCCCTTTCTTCCTCTTCTTCTCCTGACCACCTCCCCTCCCCTCCCCTCAGCACAAGCCCCTTCAAATTTTTCCCCCCCCCCCCCCTTTTTTTGTTGTCTTTTACACATTTGCATTTTGCAATGGGTTTTTTTTGGTTTGTTTTCATTTTTGTCCCGGCCTTTTAGCCCTATAAATAGCAAATAGCATTTTCATTTGTTTTTTTCCATAAAGGCAAAGGCGCTTCAGTGAACTCCCCCTTTCACTCCCTGCTGGGTCACAGCAGCCTTTTCCCTGCCCTGTCCAGCCCCTCCCTATGGACAAGCACCCATCACTCCCGACCCACAGGGGAAACAGGGTGCAGGGACAGCACAGAGCCAGAGGGGTGCAGGGAACAGTGTGGGGGGGTACAGGGGTGGCATGGGGAATGGCAGGCACAGAGCCAGAGGGACGCAGGGTGCAAGGTGCGGTGAGGCATGGGGAATGGGACATGGGGAATGGGAGGGGCAGAGGGATCGGGGTCTAAGGGCAGTGCAGGGAAGGGGCAGCACAGAATTGGTGGCAGGGATCGGAGGGGAGGTTACAAGGGTGGTGCAGAGCCAAAGAGTCACAGGGAAGAGGGAGAGCAGAGCGTCCGGGGTACAGGGGAGCAGGGTGCAGGGGAGGCATGGGGAACGGGCGGCACAGAGACAAAGTGGTGTGGGGCAGATGCAGTGAGCCGGGTGGTCGGCCGGGAGCGGCCTCTCACCGGCAAGGGGGTTGGGGCCATGGCAGGACTGGAGCCGGCGGGGCGGGGCCTGGCTGCGCCGCAGACCGCTCCAGGGTCCACGCAGCCAGAGCCGAGCTGCTGCGGTCCTTTAAAATCAGCAGAGCCATGTCACGTCAGCGCCCTGGCGTCTGCCGCCATCCCGCCTCCTCGC